TTTTCAGCAGATCCGAATGCCTTTAGGCTGATTCTGAGGCAGAGTGCTGTTTAGGACATCTGCCATTCTATGAGTCTGCTGAGTATCTCACTTCCCAGGTTGGATCACTCTCCCCTTTATTTATTCTATCAGTTAGTATTAGCAGGTACTAGACTTGTTTATGTGATCCCTTTGACTCTTAGTCCTTTCATTATGATCAATTGTGAACTGAAATTGATCACTTGGAATAGTGAGATGGCATTGGTACATGCCACCTTGATAGGATTAAATTGGAGTCCCCTGGTATGTTTTTAACTCTACCATTTGGGGCAAGTCAGCTTGAGCATGTCCCAAATTGGACATCTCTTCCCTCTCTTATTCCTACTCTTATGTTTAACAGGGATCACATTTCAGTTAAATTTCAACACTTAAGAATAACTGTGTATTAATTACAGAATTAAACCAGTCATATTAAGTAGAACAGACAAAAAAACTACTAAGAGGGATAATGTATTAAGTTGTCCATTAGCAGTCAGGGCTATGCTGATCAAGTCACCTTTTTTTTTTAAGATTTACTTACTTAAAAGACACACACACACACACACACACAGAGAGAGAGAGAGAGAAAGGGAGGGAGGGAGGGAGGGAGGGAGGGAGGGAGAGAGAGAGAGTTTCTTAGTTCTTCCATCTGCTGGCTCACTTCCCAAATGGCTGCAACAGCCAAAGCTGAGCCAATTTGAAGCCAGGAGCTTCTTCCAGGTCTCCCACATGGGTGCATGGGCCCAAGCACTTGGGCAGTCCTCTGCTGCTTTCCCAGGTGCATTAGCAGGGAGCTGGATCAGAAGTGGAGCAGCTAGGACCCGAACAGGAGCCCATATGGGATACTGGCACTGCAGGCCAAGGATTCAATCTGCTGTGTGTGGCACCCCCACAGTTAGGGATTTAATGATGGTTAACAGCTTCATTATTATTTTTTTAAAAAATCATACCTCCTAATTCCTTATAGCTTATAAATGTGTTCCAAATTTATTTTCCCCAAAAACTTTCCACTACATTCCATTTGAATTTAATTAAGGATTTAACCCAAAGCAACAACTGTGGGCATTTCAGAAAATATGTCAAGAAAGATGAGTTTATTTAATCAAGGATTTATATTTTGGATTATATTCTCTAAATATCTTAGAACTAGAAGAGAGAAAGAGACTGGTAGGACTCAATTATTTGAGATAGTTTGGCAACCTCAGTCAGAATTATATATGTATGTGACACTTGTAATGCTAAAGCACCATTGTAATTGTCTATATTTAATGTGTGCATATTTTGATATACACATAAATAATTAGTATAGCAAAGCTAATTAACGTCAATTTCCTCAGAGTTACTCTTTTGAATGTGTGGTTAATTTATTTTTTTTATATATTTTATTTTATTTAATGAACATAAATTTCCAAAGTACAGCTTATGGATTACAATAGCTTCCCCCCACCCCCATAACTTCCCTCCCACCCACAACACTCCCCTCTCCCACTCCCTCTCCCCTTCCATTCACATCAAGATTAATTTTCAATTATCTTTATATACATAAGATCAATTTAGCATATATTAAGTAAAGATTAACAGTTTGCACTGAATGTGTGGTTAATTTAAACATTTAAGATGTACTCTCATAACAAATTTTA